TGGTTCGATAACCAGAGGATGATCGTTACTAATAGGTATGATGCTGTTGTGATGCTTGGATTTGCTCGAAACGGCTTGATAATGGTTTTGTGGACAATGCCAAAAATTTGACACCAATTCCTGATAGTTCTGGGAATTGTATGGCGCGTAAGTAACCAATGGAGCCAATGCCGACGGGTTGTATGCTTGCACCGACTAACCGGATTGAATGTTCTCTTCTGAAAGTAAATCCAAATCGTACTCTAGCTCAGTTCCTTGGCCATTTGTCCCAAGTCACCGATTTTCGAAATGTTGACGGTACCGTTTGCGATCTGCTCAAGGGTCTTCGCCCCTTCTTGTCTCTTGTGTACCAGTCTGAGTTTGACGACATGGTTCTCAAGGCTGACGCAGATGCGTACCGTGCGCGCAATGCCCAATCCCTCAAGCGAAAGGCTCGTGAAGAATCCTCCAAGTTGTTCAAGTGCAATATGAAGCGTGCTCGGTACTCGGACGACGTCGTTGCCGCCAACACCAACGCTCAGGCTTGGTTCGTCAGCAAGTGTGCTGACATCGACAGCCAGCTGGTCGCTAACATGACCCGCATCAAGGGAGGAAATGCTCCGCTTCCCGTCGTCGTGGAGGCTCCCAACGAATTTGCCGGGTAAGCGAGCTTTGATGCTTGGGGGTGTCCGTCGACCCAAACGGGGTGCCAAAAACCGTGCCAGTTGGCATGCCTACTGTTGTGGCTCGCCATTGTCATTGATGACCCTGAACCCAGACGGCTTCTTGTAGATGACTTGTTCCGTGGAAGAGCCGGAAGCGGGGTCCAACCGAATATTTCAAAACTCAGAGGTAGCTGATCGTTTATCCATAATAGATCCCTTTCTTCCTTTGTACTTGTCTGCCCTCGTGATAACCACGTGCATATCAGGTCTGATCTCTGGCTCGTTGAGATTCAGATCACGCAACTCATCCTCTAGTGCTCGCATAAGCACACGTATCTGACGTGCTCTTCGCTGTCGTCGTTGTCGTTCCTGTTGATCCATCTTGCTGCCTTAGGGGGTATGGCTTGGGTCGATGGGATGTTTTGCGACTGGTGACAACAACCGCTGGTAGTCATGATCGCCAGAGGTGCGCGTCAAGAGCAACTGGCCAAGTGACGCGCCGGGTGAACTCATCTCAGGAAGTCATTCATTCACAAAAACCGAACCCTAAATCGCAGTGCGATTAGAGGGCCGAAGAGTATCTCAACACTGTCGGCCTGATCATGTCTAGCTTAGTATAGACCTCCTTGATCTCCGACGAACCTGCATCGGATCTGTAGTCCGACCTCCATCAGTTGACAGCCTTGATGAGTTAGTCGTCCACCTGCATGTTGGTGGCATGGGTGGTCACACCTCTTCAAAGAGATCGAGAGATGCCGTAGGCTTCTCTCACCTCCACCTCTTTGTCAATCAAATCTGGCCTTCGGGTCTGGACCTTCTCCAACACTCCGTGAAACGTGTCCTCAAAATCCGACAATTTGGGATCCTTGTGCTTGAGCTGGAACAGGAATCCGATGGGTCGCCCTTGATTGTGAATCACAAGATCAATCATCCGTTTACCCCAAACTCCTGGCAACAAACCATTCTTAGTTTCCCCAGCGATAGGGATCCTCAACTTGTGTCCAGTCACGGCGTTGCCCTTTGTACGTCCGGCAAAGACAGCGTCCATGTGTGGAGGGATGGAGTACACATCGGGTCCATATGGGCTGAGGTGTTTGAGACTCCTCCACATACCATTCAACTCCATGATCAAATGCTCTTCGCCTCGAAGGCCAATGCAGAAACCGAGCAGAAACCAGAAAGCACACAAGGAAATCTCGAAGAGGCGCTGCATGTCTTGCTCCATCAAGGGACGTGCTTCTTCCTCCTCCCACTCCTCCGTGCATATGGCTTGGACTTCCAACATGACGTGGATGGTGACGGGCTCGTCTCTCTTGATGACCTCCCCAATTCGGCGGTGGAGGCCCACCGTGAAGCGCCCAAAGAAGATGCCGTGCACTGCCGCGGACGAGATACGCGTGGTTATCTTCTGATTCACCCCCACGGCGTCGTTAAGCACATTGACAGAAGCCTGATGTGCGTTGGTGATGATGGACTGAATCTTCCGAATTGTAGACCATTGTACGTTCGCCTCGTACTTGCCAGGGTCGAGTGACCTGTCCAGCAACGCCACTGCCGCTGCCATCCCAAACACGTCTTTCAATGAAAATGGACCGATAGGAGGCAAGATGCAAGTGAAATCAAACTTCTTCTCCGTCCTGTGGATGCGTCGAAACATTTGAAGATTTCCTCGAACGTTAGAAGACTCCCTGGACCACAAGGCGTCCAAATTCGCGCGACGCAAGTAGTTCAACAGCAAGAGATCATCATCGGACAACTCAGGGTCACGTCCTTTGATGTTCCGAAAGTGACAAAGTTCACACTGGAACGGCGTCATGAGGTTGTCCCCATTTCGTGCCACGAAGAAGCGATCTCCGTCCTTTTCCTTGACAAGGATGTTACCGTCATCGTCCACGGTGTAACAAATAGGAAACTTGACGTCGCCCGTATCCACGAAACACGGTCCGCACCAAGCGTTATTGCAGGCTGCAAAGGGACCACGCTCTGCCGAATAATTCGCGCAGAAGATTCCTCTGAACTGCGTGATCGATTTCATGCATTCGGGCCCCATGCAGATGCCCTTGCAGTCCTTCAAGCAGACCTTTTCTTTCTCGGAATCGAGGAGAGCTGGTACTATAAGGCAAGCACACAACCATTAGCAAAGGTTCGAACTGGTCTTCAAAGTTCCACCACTCGGGAGGAATCAATTTGTAGTATTTGTCGCTTGCTTTGCCCAGCTGTTTGCGCCACCACCCTGTCATGAGTCGTGTTGAGCAGCAGCACGCCTGGGGAACCCCCCGTTCGAGTTTCCACGCCCCACAGCGTGGAAACTTGAACCCTGATGGGTTCTCGCAACTACGACCCTAATCATGGTTGCCGAGAGGACCATCTCACTATTTGCAAAATTAATTCCCGCGCTCCTCACTACAACTCAAGTACATCTCTACATCTCGCACGTCATCACCTGCGTTCCGGAAATGGACACCCCACGTGATGATGCACCGCATCAGCTCCTCAATGCCTCTCGAACAAGATTACCCTTAAGGCAACGACGCCCGTCCAAGACCACATTTGGCAAGATTGAAAGCGGCAACCATGAATCACTAAAGCCAGCGACCTAGCCAAGACCAGCCATTGAACTGCCGATCGCAAGAAGGTTGTCTCTCTCTCAGCTCACAATTCTTCATTCAGCCGACGCTGAAGGCAAGAACCTAGATTAGATTAATCTCTTGCGCCAACATCAGGCCAGCTCTAATTTTTCGGATCTCGTCTCTCGTGCAGCGGCATGGGAGGTGCATGCTCCAAACTACACTGATATCCTCACTTCTGTGGGCGGCGCCTCGAATGCAAATCGTGATGTTGCCTCTCGCGCTATGAGCCAATTTTGCCTTCGTTCGCCTGTCACCTTTGGCTTCGTCCTCCAAAATGATGAAACCAATATCTACATTGGACACTCACTCTACGCCTACCCCATGAATCCGATCTCTCCTTACGACAATCTCTACGCTATCGTGGTGGGGAACGATCTTCGAAGCGCTATCACGGACGATTATTGACGGAGGAACAATGTTTGCCACCGCGCCGGCTCCTGTGCTACACAGTGGCCCCCACGGCGGTGGTGTCGCAGACACTGATGTCTTCCGGGTCCGTCGTGTGATGCCTCTTCCGTCCTATCTCTCTGAAGCCGTCCTTGTGGCCCGTCCCGAAGGACAGTACAGTCTTCCCCAGTTCCGTGCGGAAGTCCTTACCCCCGAGATGACTCACGCGGATCCTGCGCGACAGGCTGCCATTGCCCCTTTGGTCCAATGGTTCCGCGCCTGTTGTACGTTGGTCGCGGGAGGTCACACGTCCACTAGTAATGCTGCTGCTAACGTGGCCGCGCCCATTAGCGCAAAGGCGCTCCAGCGAAGCACAAACCGGGTACTCTCCCCTACATGGCGGCGCTTGGCGCGGTAGGTCCGGGCCTGACCAACGCAACCTTCAACGCGGAAATCACGAACCTACATGATACGCTGGAGGCCACTGTTAAACAACAACTCCAGTATGACCGTGAAAAGAGCAACAAAACCTTCACGGATAAATTCGCGGTCGCCCTAGCCACTCGCGTCCACAACCTCTGCAACGTGGCCGATGACGCAAACCTTCCCGTTATTCACCGTCTGCTCGCGAAGTCCCCCCAAGGGGAATGAACACGGAATCTCGGAAGCTCAACTAGCTAGACGAACGCACTCAGGCTTCGGCACTGCCCATCAACCTCGCGAACAAACCCTTGGTCACTGGACACATTCTGGATCGTGTCTTCCGCAAGTACTTCGTGAACGGTCAAGGGACCACCTTGGGCGAAGGCCTGTCCCCCTTCTCAGTGGTGTGCCAAGGCCATTCGGAAGCGAAGGCGGTCCAGGACTTGGCTGCTCGAGCGGAGTACGTTGAGAAGGGAGCCTCCGTCACCTTGGAAGATGCCATTGCCATCACTTCCACGGACGTCAAGTTTCCCACCGATGGTCGCATTGCGGAGGAAAAGCTCTATGGTTTCTCCATCATGATAGATGTCTTCTATGGAGGAAACCATCCCGTCTCAGGCTCGGTGCGTGATGTGGCCCTCTCGCTGGGATCCTACCTCCACACCATCCATGGACTGCATGCTGACAACCGGAGTGTGGCGGTGGACTTGTGCGGTCGCATCCTTTTTGAGGTCCAACAAGATTACTTCCTGTGGGTCAACGAAGCTATCCTAAACCCGGGCGCTGCTGCCCCCAACTTTGGTGTGCTGACTAGACTCGTTCAGTCCTCCCGTGGCTCGTCTCTCGCTGAGCTCCCTGCTCACTGGTACTCGTTCTTCAAGCCCGCTCCCGAACCGCCGAGCAAGAAGCCTGCCGGAGCGAACCAACAGCGAGCGGGAGCACACCCAGTCACCAACGTCCACGGCGATGAAGACCTCTTGAAACGTATCCAGGACTCGGGATTCCGCTGCATCACGGAAATGACCAAGGACCATCAGTACACCATTCCCAAGCACGGTGGTCAGGACGTCTGTATGGCCTGGGCCCTCAAAGGCAGCTGCACCTCCGGATGCAAGCGCGCTGCCACCCACAAGTGCTACTTGGCAGCTACGGTGCAGAAGCTCCACACTCTCCTCACGGACTGTGGAGTTGCTGACCCGCAGCCCTGAGTCTCCACGCCTGGACTCGCCACCCGTATTGGAGCACCCGCTCCTATCTCGGTGGCGTCCATACCTCGCAAGCAGTTTGGTCTCCACCCCTTTGATCGCGATGTCTCTCATGTGAAACCTCCAAGGACTAACAGGAGCACTCCTGCTCACAAAAAACCTTCACACGAAAATTCTACCACTTCAATTCACGCCCTCTCACATGCAGCCTCGCTGTCAATGTCTCCATCATCACAGCGGTCGGCTGGCCTACTGCCCGGATCACCTAAGAAACGCCGAACGCCTTCATCCTCTACATCAAACACCACTAAAACTACTAGCCCTGCCGTTGATACCAGATCAATCCGAAATGACA